ACAATAGATTTACTTTTTAAAAAGGCATAACTTGAAAAGCCCCTTCCCCAGACTTCCCAAAATTTGTCACAATACAAGAGCTGGTTGCAACATACCCTCTAACTTTCAGCTCTGCTGGGCAGGGCTCTGCTCTTCCGTGTGCACGACTTGGCTCCTGCACGCAACTCCCCCCCCCACAACAGGGTTCTGTTGCAACTGGAACCTAACACAATTGCTCCGTAAAAGAGGAAGACAGCTGTCCAGAGGGAGGCAGAGGCACACGAGCACCCAACTTACAGAGGACCTTGGCTGATTTCACCCAGAGAGTGCTTGTAGCGCTATGGGGCAGTATAAAAGTCCAATAAATAAATAAATAAATAAATAAATTGTCATCTACATCTGTGCCCAGTGTGTGGTGATCCAAAATCTGATTGCAAAATTATAGTGTTTTGTTTCAGCTACACCCATTTTTAGAATTGTCTTATAGAATATTGATTTGCTGTGCTGGCACAATATCATCACTGCGCTCTTGTGCAGTGGTAATTTAATTACATGACTTTTTAATGCATGAATGCCACGGGTTTGTTATTTTAATTTTAATTTTGTTTTCCTGTTGTTGGGGGGGGTTGTGGTTTTTTGGGTTATTTCTTATTAACACATGTATCTACGAACATAGAAGTGGAATCCAGTCCTTTTCCCTGTTGACCCTTTTCATGCACACACACACACACACACATTTTAAAAACCATATTCACACACACACACACACACACACACACACACACACACACTTTTAAAACCCAATTCGTAAAACCACTTTGCATTCTGGCCCCGTGGTATCACTGCGGTTGACTTGCTCAAAAATACAACATATGTAAAATGCTGATTTAATTAAAGTTTCCAACTTAAGTTGAACTACGGACTTCCAAAAAGGACAGCACCCAAAAATGTAAACATGAAGTCAGAATAAAATGAAACAACGGGGGGAACAAGATTATAAATGCTGCAAGCAAATGGCATTCAGATATATCTGATAATATAGGTTGCAATATGGATACCTATGTGCTTAAATAAACATACTCTAGCCACACCCTTCATCCTTCCAAGGTGATGATGATGTAGTTGCCTGGCTTTTTAATATCTGTTTTGTCACCAAGTTTGAAACACTGGTATTGCATGCAGAATATCCCGGGGTCAATCCCAGTGGAAATTTCTGAAATATCAGTGCTGGAACAGGTCTTGAAGAGCTGCCACTGTTGTGATGATTGGTCATTTTAAGGACCAATTGGATTCCTTATGAAGATATATGAAAGTGAAAATGAGTAATATGTTTCCCTGTTGACTTACATAGAGTTTGAAGCCCAGAAGCCGTTCACATGACAGAAGACAGTGCAGGTAAGGCACAGAGGAGCAGGTTGGTGGCACCATTTCATGGATTGTGGAATCAATGTCACAGTATATTCTGTACCTGTTTAAAGACACCTAGTGCTTCAAAATGCTATTGCTCATATCTGGTGGTCTATAATGTGGCATGAGGATAGTTAGAAACTTTAAGAGAGGTTGGGCAATCTCAGAAAGTCTGAGGACGTGGAATTTAGTAGCTCTTGTCTTTCTTCTTTCCAAGCACCTAAACATCTCTTTTAAGCTTTCAGTTGCATTTGACACAAAAAGTGAGCATGGGTGAGGGGATACCAGCAGCCACTGTTTTGGACCTTACATAGAGAGAAACATAAATAGATGGACAGAGAGAGAGAGAGGAAGATATAAAATTAACATGGGTAGCAGTTATACAGGCAGAGTAGTACCTTGGCATTGTCCTTCCTAGACTTACCTTTTGTTGGTTGCACATGTGCAACTTTTTGCAAACTGCAGAACCCATTCCTGCCAACCTAACAGTTCAAAAGCATGTAAAAATGCAAGTCGATAAATAAGGACCACCTCAGTGGGAAGGTAATGATGTTCCATGCATCACCTTGCCAACAAAAGTCCGAATAGTCAAAGCTATGATTTTTCCTGTCATGATGTATGGTAGTGAGAGCTGGACCATAAAGAAAGCAGACCGCCGAAGAATTGATGCCTTTGAATTGTGGTGCTGGAGGAGGCTCTTGAGAGTCCCCTGGACTGCAAGGAGAACAAACCTATCAGTTCTAAAGCAAATCAAACCAGAGTGCTCACTGGAAGGACAGATCCTGGAGCTGAGGCTCCAGTACTTTGGCCATCTCATGAGAAGAGAAGACTCCTTGGAAAAGACCTTGATGTT